AGCGTATAGATGGATGAATGGATGGATAGATAGCATTTAGATAGATGGATGGATATATAGATAGCGTATAGATGGATGAATGGATGTATAGATAGCATTTAGATGGATGGATGGATGGATAGATAGATAGTGTATAGATGGATGAATGGATGGATAGATAGCATTTAGATAGATGGATGGATAGATAGACAGCGTATAGATGGATGAATGGATGTATAGATAGCATTTAGATGGATGGATGGATGGATGGATGGATAGATAGATAGCGTATAGATGGATGAATGGATGGATAGATAGCATTTAGATAGATGGATGGATAGATAGATAGCGTATAGATGGATGAATGGATGGATAGATAGCATTTAGATGGATGGATGGATAGATAGCGTATAGATGGATGGAAAGATAGTGTTCAGATGGATGGATAGATAGTGTATAGATAGATGGATAAATAGCGTTTAAAAGGATGGATGGATAGATGGATGGATGGACGGATGTATGGATGGACTGACGGATGGATGGATAGATAGCGTATAGATAGATGGATGGATAGATTTTAGATGGATGGATAGTGTGTAGATGGATGAATGGATGGATAGATAGCGTATAGATGGATGGATTTATAGATAGTGTTTAGATGGATGATGGATGGATGGATGAATAGATAGCTTTTAGATGGATGGATGGACAGATTAATGGATGGATGACCAAATCCAGCCAGCAATCATCATTTTGATGTTTCTAGAAAGCTAGAAATCGATATTCTTCTGTACTGCGACACTGTGTTTTAGTCACATTAGAATTATTTTCTTGCATAATTCACCTTTTCTAAATTAAAAAATCTAATTCAAAACATGTTGAATTTTTACTGTCTGCACATATTCTAAATTGCTCAAAAAAAGGACATAAATTACATCAGGGGTGTCCAAACTCAGTCCTGGAGGGCCGGTGTCCTGGAGAGTTTAGCTCCAACCTTAATCAAACACACCTGAACAAACTAATCAAGCTCTTGCTAGTTCCACTAGAAACGTCCTGGCAGGTGTGTTAAAGCAAGTTGGAGCTAAACTCGACAGGACACCGGCCCTCCAGGTACTGAGTTGGACACCCCTGAATTACATGATTTACAAGTCTTATGTGACACAAATTAAAAAAAATTAGCACCTACCTGTCACAAATATAACTTTTTATAACACACACAACCTAAAATCTCCGTAAGAGCCAGTTCTCTCATAGGTGCCAATCATTTTCTCATCATGTTCAGTAGAGTGGAAATACAGAGCAGGATCTGAATACTTATTCCACACAAAACAAACACGCAGCGAACATAATGAGAGCTCAAAAGGCACGACGTACAAAGACTCTATTGTTTTTCAATGTGTGAAGAAAACTACTGCTGGTGAGGAAATTATGAAATGATGAGAAAGTTTATTGCCTGTGGAGGAAGGGAATGTCCATCTTGTATCGCAGCCGGCTTCATTAGCATGCATTAGCAGTGTTGCCGAAGCTAGCCAATATTTGCTGAGCTATAAGCTACTACTAATAATTCAAAGTAGACAAAATGGATTCCTGTTCATCTGCAGTTACACCCACACACACACACACACTGGAATAAACATCTTAAATTACCTTAAAGAAGAGTTAAATCAGACCAAGGCTACTGTAGCTAAGAGAACAGCTAACTATGAGGTAGTTTTAAGCTAATTAGCTAATCAAGCTAAACTGTATTTGTTTTTCTATGAGTAGAAACTACAAAGAAGCCATAATTTAATTATATATAAGTGTCACGGTGGCACAGTGGGTAGCACGATTGCCTCACAGCGAGAAGGACACTGGTTCAAGCTGCACCTGGGTCAGTTGGTATTTCTGAGTGGAGTTTGCATGTTCTCCCAGTTTTCGCATGGGTTTCCTCTGGGTGCTCCGGTTTCCCACACAGTCCAAAGACATGCGGTACAAGTGAATTGGGTAAGCTAAATTGGGTAAGCTAAATTGTTTCCCAGTGTTGGCTGTAAGGGCATCCGCTGCGCAAAACATATGCTGGATAAGTTGGCAGTTCATTCCGCTGTGTTAAAATTTAATCAATAGATATTTTATAAAGAAGCTACCTGTTACGACTGAAGTTTATTTATTTATTTTTATTATTGCGGATTGTACTCCTTTTTCTTTTGTCCCGCCTCCTTGCTGTTTTTCTGATGTCTTATAGGCTCCCACGCCGGCGTGATTCCCTGCTCTGATTGGCTGCTGGTCTACGAGGCCTGTATAAAAGGGAGCTTCCGGCAGGAATCGGAGAGCTCATTTCTGCTGCGTTCGGTGTTTGGAGTGGAGCTCCTGGGTTTCCCTCACCCCTTCGGCCGACGACCAACAATTATCACCTTCGTATTGATGACCATCCTATGCTTGAATATTTATTGAGAGTTTGAGCGTGTAGGGGTGACCTGCCTATTTATTTGACTACTTTTGACTTTGTTTATATTAGGGAGTCAGGTAAGATTCTTGTATGTTTCTTTAAATAGTAATAGGTAATTTAGTGGATTTATTTTATAGATTCTTTTGTTTGTTATTTTGGCCTGTGGTCACCCTGACGAAATGCTCGTTTATATAAACCCTACTTTTCTATAATAAATATCTTCATATATACTCTCAATTGAGTGTGTGAGTTTGGTTGTCGACCGAAGGGAATCTTTTGCTTTAAGTTTTGTTTAGTTTGGGAAATCCACCACCCCAACACATTTGTTTGTTCTTCGTTTATTATGCCCTTTTCGTTTCCCCTAGACTTGGGGCGTAATACTACCAGAAATGCAACGGTTTGTTATGCTACATGATTGCTCGGCTAATTACTGGAAAGCTAAACTAAATGTTAACACAGCTACTGACACAGTATAAGCTAAATTCACATTATTTCTTTACGCAGGGTTTCCCACATAAACTGATTCTGGATCAGAAAGGCTTACAAGCTTTTTTTAAAGAAAAAAAAAAACCTAGCAAACTGCAGCGTTTACAGGCTAATGATGCTAAAGTCTGCATCAAACAGCATGTAGCAAAATTACACTGACTCCATTATGAAATGCTGATTACATTAATCATTCATGCATCACTTAAAAAACACCAAAGAAAAAAGTAGCGTACTGCTTTAGTCAATATTTACAGCTTAAAAAGTGCTGTGCTGTTAGCTTAGCAACATGGGCTAAGATGAGTCTAATCAAGTTGTTTTGCCAAAACAGTCATTTGTAAGCCTTGATTTTAAGGATATTATCTTAAGCCATGTTTTCACTATATATAAACAACACACCCAGAAGTCAGTTATTTAAAATGTAAAGTAAAAGTATAGACGATTCAAATTTTCAGATCTTGCATGAGATTTCTCTGTCAAAATCTCAGAATTTCTGCAGCTAAACCATAAATGGCCGCCAGAAATGCCAGAATGGGAACCTGCAAGGACCCAAGATTCTCAAACAAATCAGTCAAGTTTGGTGAAAGAAAAATCATGGTTTGGGGTGACATTGAGTATGGGGGCGTGCGAGAGATCTGCAGAGTGGATGGCAACATCAACATGAGGTATCAAGACATTTGTGCTGCCCATTACACAAATTCTTCAGCAGGATAGCGCTACTTCTCATACTTCAGCCTCCATCAAAGCTCCTGAAAGCAAAGAAAGTCAAGGTGCTTATGGGTTGGCCAGCCCAGTCACCAGACATGAACACTATTAAGTATGTAGTAGTAGTAGTATTAGTAGTAGTAAAAATTTATTGTCCTTGACAGGAGATTTGTTTTGGGCATCGCCATATTGCTGCAAACATTCACTAAAACAAGCAATAAAAAACAATAGAAAATACAACAATTACAAAATTTATAGTGCTAATTAAGATATACTCTTATTAAATAAAGCCACTGACACAAGTACAAAGGATTTCTTATAGCGGTTTAACCTACACTTTGGGACTCTATATCTTCTACCAGAGGGAAGCAGTTCATACTGTGAAAACAAAAAATGAGTTGGATCGTTTACAATCCTTTCCACCTGATTGAGGACACAGTTCTCATATAAAACTTAAGGATTCAAATATTCATCGTGCCCGACAATTTTCCATGCTGTCTTTAAGAGATGCATCAGTTTAGATTTACACTGAACAGATAGGTTGCCAAACCACACTGTGGTGCCATACCTGACAATGCTTTCCAGAGTAAGATGAAGGAGGAGGCATTAAAGAAGAATATAAAGAATCTTGATGAACTCTGGGAGTCCTGCAAAAACGCTTTCTTTGCCATTCTAGATGACTTTATTAATAAGTGATTTGAGTCATTGCAGAGATGTATGGATGCAGTCCTCCAAGCTTATGATGGAGTCAGACACAATATCCATTCTGTTTCCACTGCAGCATGACTTTATATCCTATACTGTACATTATTTCTGTTAAGTGACAAGACTTTTGTCTAAGCAGAGTCAGACCTTACTGTCCTAATTAAAGAATTAAAAATCAAGGCATGATCACATGTTATTTTGGAAAAATAGGTGTAATCTAGAGGCCTTTGCCTTTCATATGAGCCATTTCTGATAACAAATGATTAACTAGAAGTCAAGTTACTATCTGTTGTTCCTAAAACTTGGATAGGTTTTACTGTGAAAACAGACAGATTTACTTACTATTTCACCCCTCAACCTTCTTAGACACACCAACCATAAAAAATAAATAAATAAAAGCCAATCCCTAAAGATCCTCTGAAAGCAAAGCAAATACAACCTGCTTTAAATGTACATCATCAAGTTCAGAGTACAGATGTTGGCATAAATCAAACATATCCTTCCAACACCAGACGAACAGACACCTATACCAGAATGGTTAAACACAAAAATAAATGGTATCGATTTCTCTGGAGGCCCAGATGTCTCAAGATTGGTCACGAGGTTATGTTTGACCCCTGCAAAATCCACAAACTATCCAATCAGAAGAGCCTGTTTGTGTATTGCTTTGAATGTTATCATTTAGTGAGAAGGTTGGACTTACTTGACGTTGGTGTTGGTGCAGATGATGTACTCAATCTCGTCTGAATAAGGATTCTGGAAGGTGAAACTGCTGGTTCGGATGAGCATCCACTCTCGGTTCTTCATCCGGAAGCGGTACATCACTGAGAGAACCTGGCCTTTCAGCTTCACCACCTATTCACAAGAAACATTTGTTTGTTTGTTTACACTTTATTGTCCCCATTGGGAAAATCTGTCTTGGACTGTGAGCCCACATTTGCATACACTGAGCTGAAACAAACATCAATAACATCATTACGGTCTGTGGGAGTTTGTATTTCTGTGCTTTCACCCTTTCTGTTTTTGCTTTTCTCCTCTCGCTGTCCCTCTCCTTGTCTGTCATTCGCTCTGTGTCTCGCACTATCACCTTTTGTTCCACTATTTTCTCTCTACCAGATACCTTCTGATTGGATCCTGAGCCTGTCACTCCTCATTAGGGCATTTCCTCGTGGACCAATCGGACTTCGTTCTGTGGACTTTAAATTCGACCGGCACGCCTTGTTTTACAGAGTGCTCTTGTGTGTTGGTTCGTGTTCGCTCGATTATGATTATGCTGTATGTTTCGTTCCGTTCCGTGTCTCTGAATAATTATACACCGATGTAAATAAAGTCAATATGGCTAAAGAGTTTGTCATTCCTTTTTGGGGAAAAGGGAATAGGTTACTAAGTTGTGCGACATACATTTTGCCCGTAGGTATCTGTAATGTTCAGAAACACTAGGTAAGTGGGTGAGCGCCGCATTTTGTCTTTTTGTTTATTATTTCAGGGCGTATTAGTTCATGGCGTCACATACACTGAAGATTTCGATTTCTTTTTCACATTTTGATTTTCATTAGTAAGTTTAGAGGGGGATCTTGAGTTCTAGTTTAGGTGGCTTTTGGTTTTGTTTAGTTCTTTGCTATAGCGCTAGGGCTGCTCGATTTTGAGAAAAATCATAATCAAGATTATTTTGGTTCGATTATTCAAAACCATAACTGTTAAAGTCAAAATTATTAACGCTCATTAGAACTTTTTTTTTTAAATAAATATTTCCCAAATGATGTTTAAATGAGCAAGGAATTTTAACAGTATTTCCTCTAATATTTTTTCTTCTGGAGAAAGGCTTTTTTATTTTTGTTTTGGCTAGAATAAAAGCAGATTTAAATATTTTGAAACCCAATTTAAAGTCTATATTATTAGCCCCCTTAAGCAATATATTTTCTGATTGTCTGCAGAAGAAACTACTGTTCTACAATGACCTGCCTAATTACACTAATTAAGCCTTTAAATCGCACTTTGAATCTGAACGCATGAATTTTGAAAAAATATCTAGTCAAATATTATGTGCTGTCATCATGACAAAGATAAAATAGATCAGTTATTAGAAATGAGTTATTAAAACTATTATGTTCAGAAATCTTTAAGTTAAACAGAAATTGGTGAGGAAAAGGGTTGCTAATATTCAGGAGGGCTAATAATTCTGACTTCAACTGTATACGTGCAGTTATTTTCCACCCTGCAAAGGAAAGAGAAATAAATACAATAAAATAAAAATATGAAACAAACTGTGCTTTAAGCATCTTCACTGAAAGAAAAACATTTTAGCTACAAAAGTCCTTCAGTCAAGAGCAGAGAGGCATGTTCTCCATTTGCTGTTTGATTAATAATCATAAAAACAGGCAGCAGAAGGATTATAGCGCGCTCTTTAAAGGATTCTCTTTCGCGTGTCAAACTCGTTTGTTTATTACACAAATGATGGTTAATATGAATAATTACTAAACACAGCATTTTGACACCTATTAGACCATTAAGCGCTCACGTTAAGATGACTTTACATGTGTGCGCTGTCTGCGCTCTACTCGTCTCAGTGTGCGAGTGAGACCGAACTGACTGCATGCTTCTGTTCTGTGTGTGCACGGCACACAGAATCATGCGGTCTTTCGCGCTTTTAAGAGCAACACGTGTACAACTGGAAAGGGGGCGGTAAATGATGCAATAATCGTATATCTCGATTAATGATTTTTCATAATTGTTAGAAGGCAAAATCAAAATCGGATTTTCGATTAATTGCACAGCCCTATATGGCGCCACTCTAGTTCCTTTTCCCTGAAACTTTTAGGTTGATTGTATTTCTGTTTGCTTTTTTTACGCATTGTACAAAGCACACACATATAAGCCTCTCTTTTGATGGCTTCATCTTTCCTCTCATAAGTGGAATAAATGAATTGTGTATTTGATCTTGTGTATCTATCTTGTGTAATTTCCATACATCTACTCCATTCATATTCTAGTATTCTAAATGTTACGTTTACTCTCCCTAGACAACTTATTAAATCGTAACAAACATAAATCAACACAAACGTTCAATCGTCAGCGATTACATATTTAAAAGTCTGATATTGGTTAAAAAAAAAAAGATTTCTTAAGACGAGTATATCTGCACACAGGCAGCCTGTATCGTCGACCAGAAGGCAGTAACTTATACTCACAAAACAAACTGTGCCAGGGGTCAGCTGATATTTGAATAGCTTCGGCATGAACTGATTGCTCATAGAGAGATTGTAAGGATTGATATTCCCTTTTCCCTATGAATCCGAAATATTGCAATATTAGTTTTTTCCAATGTTATGCAGCCATATTGGATACTTTATGGAAGATTGATAATCTGCCTGTCAATGATGACAGTGAGGTGAATAATTCAATGAAATGACAACATCAATGGCTAACAGCGTTTACCTAGAGTTTATCTGTGATGTAGAAGGGTATTTTCCCCTACATTTGGCAATAAAATGAGGAATATTAATTAAATTACAGATGCTGGAAAATAAAAAAAAAATAGGATGAACAAGATTTTAGCTGATGTCCGACTCCATCTACATGCTCTACTCTGTAGTTAGCTTTGCTCTGCTGCATTTATCGATGCTAAAAATTGGTTTGTTGTAATCTATGTAGATGCAGAGCCCTACTCTATTTCCAAATAGAGCCTTCCAAGTCATCTAGTGAGATTATAATCAACAGTGCAATATAAACAGCAGAACAACTGACAGAAAATATCACAAAAAAAAAAATGAAATATTGAAATGTTTGTTTTTTCCAATGTCATGCAGCCGTACTGGATACTTTATTAAAGATTGATAATCTGTCCCTCAATGATGATAGTGATGTGAATAATTCAATGAAACAACAAAATCAATGACTAACAGAGTTTACCTCGGTGTAAATTTACCATCATTAATTTATCTGTGATGTAGAAGGGTATTTTCCCCTACATTTGACAATAAAATAAGGAATATTAATTAAATTACAGATGCTGGAGAATAAAAAAAATAGTATTAACGACACTTGAGCTAATGTCCGTCTCCATCCATGTGCTCTACTCTGATGTTAGCTTTGCTCTGCTGCATTTATCAACGATAAAAATCGGTTTGTTGTAATCTATGTAGATGCAGAGCCCTACACAATCATCCAAATGACTGTACAATTAAAAAATATATCCAAACAAAGCCTTTCAAGTCATCTAGTGAGATTATAATCAACAGTGCAATATATACAGCAGAACAACTGACAGAAAATATCACAAAAAAACGAAATATTGAAATGTTTGTTTTTTCCAATGTCAAGCAGCCATACTGGATACTTTATGAAAGATTGATAATCTGCCTGTCAATGATGATAGTGATGTGAATAATTCAATAAAACCACAACATCAATGACTAACAGAGTTTACCTCAGTGTAAATTTACCATCATTAATTTATCTAGGATGTAGAAGGGTATTTTCCCCAACATTTGGCAATAAAATGAGGAATATTAATTAAATTACAGATGCTGGAGAATAAAAAAATAGGATGAACAAGACTTGAGCTAATGTCCTACTTCATTCACGTGCTCTACTCTGATGTTAGCTTTGCTCTGCTGCATTTATCAATGCTAAAAATCGGTTTGTTGTAATCTATGTAGATGCAGAGCCCTACACAATCATCCAAATGACTGTACAATTAAAAAATATATCCAAACAAAGCCTTTCAAGTCATCTAGTGAGATTATAATCAACAGTGCAATATATACAGCAGAAAAACTGATAGAAAATATCACAAAAAAAAAAAACGAAATATTGAAATGTTTGTTTTTTCCAATGTCATGCAGCCATACTGGATACTTCATAAAAGATTGATAATCTGCCTGTCAATGATGACAGTGATGTGAATAATTCAATAAAACCACAACATCAATGACTAACAGAGTTTACCTCAGTGGATATTTGACATCATTAGTTTATCTAGGATGTAGAAGGGTATTTTCACCTACATGTGGTGACAAACTGAGGAATAATAATTAAATTACAGATGCTGGAGAATTGCATCCATTGACATACTCTGAAGTCACTTAAACAATGTTTATCCAGATCTCTTTAAATATAAAGCTGCGCCCAAAGAAAAACAACTCAACAGTGCATAAAAGACAACGACAAAGATCTTCAGACTTCAAAAAAATCCTTATAAAGTGTTTGACGAAAACAGCTCTTTTAAACAAACAACACAGCCGGCAGTACTTCAAGCGAGTTATAAAAAAAAAAATGTTTTTTTTTTTAGATGTCTGAGAGGCGAGAGGATATGGGATATTATTCTTGGCGACAAGAGGCCACTTTGCTTTTTTTCAGCATGAGAAATGACCTTAAGATCTCTGGATGGAAAGGCACAAACATTTGTTTTCCTAACGTCACCTCCTTCTTCCAAAACAGAGCCAGGAGTTCACCGTGTCAGAAAGCTTAAACCAAAGGCAGAAGAAGCTCTTGCTTTTGACATTTATGTGAAAAGAGCTGCAAATACGAGTCACTGAAGGGCAACTTTTACAAGGCTGAGTAACCGAGAAGTGCTTGTAGTAAAAACAAGATGTGCATTAAAGACAAGACAAAAAAAAAAGACATAAAAAATCCCGATATTGTATGTTTTATACATCACAGAAAAAATCTGTGCTATAATGAATTTAATATGAAGGTAAACATTGATTTGACAAGATGAAACTGCAACTCAATTTTTGAAGTCTGACAAATTTAAATGGAATTAATTTCAATGCAACAACTTTGATTGTGTAGGTTCACATACATTTTGAAGAGTGAACCCTTACACTATCATGGATGTAGTTTTTTGGAGTCAT